TTCACTTATAAAGAAGACTCATAACTTGATCAAATTACAATTAAAATTTATCTTATCACTTAATTACCATGGATGAAATGTTGATTTCCTTACAGTGAAGTATGATTTTAAAAAAAGTTTTCATTTACAGGATAAACAAGAGTCCTGGACACTTTCCATGATGTCATGTTCAAAAAATTCTTAAATGTACAGTTTTCAAGGGCGCTTGATTGTGTTGCTTAACACCTTGGGCTCAGTGTTAGATTCAGGGTATCAAGTAGGATTGTACCGTCTATACTCAGTCAGGTCCACTGTAAACTGCACAGACCGATATCTGCCATATCAAAAATTAGCCAACACATCTTGGTCTATACAGCTTATTAGGACTAAATAGAACAATCAATATGCACCTTGAATTGCTGGTGCATTGTGTGATGGCAGATCAGGTTCTGTGTTGTTTGCAGCAAAATGTCTGGTACTGCAATTAATGGTTAATTTTTCACCATTTTTGATTACTTTAGAAAATTAAAATATTTGAGACTAGTTTTTAGCTGCTCACAATGGAATTGCCATTATTGTAATTTGTAATGACGTGAGAATGTTTGGTCTCCAATAAGCGCTAGTCAAGTTAATTGTATTTTGTTTTTCTCTTCTTTTTTTTTTAAGAAAATGAAATGGCTCTATTTTACTGAAAGTTCATTAGCAATTATTAGAATATTGAATCATCAACATTTCTATGACTAGTGGACAAGAAAGACTCATATAATTTGTACCATATGGGTATAAATGATATTCAGTTTTAATATTTATATGTATATGTTATGTAATATTGAAATGTGATTATCCAAACCTAGATTTGTAGGGGGAAAAGGTACATGTATATACACTTTTTATTATATAATAGAGATCAATCTATTTATTGTATACAAGTCTAATTAGCATCAGATCATCATTACTGATAAAGTGCTTTTAAGAGGACTAAACGACCTACATACTTCTGAGTAAAGAATAATACATAGCTTCAGAGAGGGGGTATGTAATAAATACACATTCTTGTTTGCTTTTTAGACTAGAAAAAGAACTTGTTATGGTTTTTAAATTCATCTCAGTCTAATGACCTCAACATATTCCTATCCCATATGAAAATGGTTCATTTCTGCCGATTGAATAAATCCATCTGTAGTTTTGTGTATGTATTTAGGTACTTTAAGTCTGCATAACCTCCCTTTGGAACACATTTATATATGGTCATAAAACTTATCATTGAAACACATTTTTATGTGGTCATAAAACCTCTCTTTGAAACACATTTATATGTGGTCATAAAACTTCTCTTTGAAACGCATTTATATGTGGTCATAAAACCTCTCTTTGAAACACATTTATGTGGTCATAAAACCTCTCTTTGGAACACATATGTGGTCATAAAACCTCCCTTTGGAACATATTTATATGTGGCCATAAAACCTAGCTTGCCATTAGTTGTATGCTAGGGAATCAACCAATCTAAGAAGGTAAATCATAATTGTGAATTCGGCCCTGCACCACATCAATCTGTCCTGCAAAAGATCCAAACTTGCATTACAAAATCCCCCACAATAGTTAATGTTAAATTCCAAGAATGTAGTCAAGTAGATCTCCACACAAATCTAAGATATTTTATCTTGTTGGCAAAAAAAATATTCCTGTTGTAATATAAATTGACAGTGACAAGGTCCATATATATTTGTCATGCTGTCAGACATTCTTTCATAAATATGTCTACAGCAAGTCCGTCCCACTTTTATGATTGTGTGACTAATATATTGATTATACCCATAGTATGTTTGTCTATTATCAATAATTATGCAATTTAAGGTACCATATATGTTCGATTATAAGTCCAACTGTAAACAATTATAGATCCAGATCTGCCATTGCATAGTGCACCTGCAGATCAGAATTAAATTGCATTAATTATGCAATTTAAGGTACCATATATGTTCGATTATAAGTCCAACTGTAAACAATTATAGATCCAGATCTGCCATTGCATAGTGCACCTGCAGATCAGAATCGGTATTGATTGTTGTTAATGGTTACTCCTAACAAATTTCGTGGACTTAGATATCCTGACACATTATGTAATGGCAGATCTGGGTATGTGCAGTTTGCATTTAGACTGTTGCCTAAGCATGTGTAGATGGTATTTATGCACATTTTGTCTTCCTGATCAGTTGTGGGAATTAGTATTATTTTTTATACCTTCTAGAGTGTATTTATAATATTATTAATTTATGCAAAGTATACAAGTGTTTAGAAATGTGTAAACTTCTGTTGTAAATTTTTCACAAATGATTATTTCAACTGTACCTACATTAGCATGAATAAATCATGTGTGATTTCTCTAGTTACTGTATCAAAGCTACAGACACCCATACCAATCAGAATATGAATTCAAGAATCTTGAAGCAATCTACTTAAAGTAACTACCTATATAACAAGGTAATGTTTCATTGGTGTACAACTTTGCACACAATTTTCACAGTTGGTGAAAATTATGCATTAACAAGGAGTCAGTTTTATCCATTTGAATAAAAATAAACTGCTAATTTTAGTCTGGATTTTTTGTTTAGCCATCACTTAAATTCTCAAAAAGTACTATACTGTACTGCAAACACCCACAATTTCCCTCCAGTTGAATCAAATTTAATAATGTGATTGCAAATGAAAAATCCTGCATTGACTAAATAGTGATTCATTCATCAGTCCACATGTTATTCCACAAAAAAGATTTCCATGTAATGTTACTATTGCACTTGCAATAGCAACACTTGTCATACTTCCAGCACAGAAAATAAAAATTTCCAAGAAAGTCATGAATTAGAAATTTCCTGAGGTCTTTACACACTTCATTAAAACTGTTCAGTAAGGATTATTTGTTCTGAACAGTTTGTGCCATAGCCTTGTGAGGACACAAATAATATAAACCCTTGACTATGAATTCCTTCACCAGCATAGATTCTATTAATCTTCCAGTTCATCTCTTGGTAACAACAGGTGTCACACATGTCATCTAACCATCCCAGTCTGATCTCATGGTAGCTGTTGGTATTCACCTAATTGAAAATTACAGATATTGGTCAGTGGCTGGACAAAAGTTTGTCCACAGAAAGGATTTCCTACACACTTGAACGTCTTGTTATTGCTATCCTCTCAATAATGTTGTTTTCACCAGATGACTTCTTATGATGTCTGGTTGGTCCTAGATGAAACTGGTGCTGATCTGATGTCTAATATGGCCACCAAAGCTGCCATCTTGAAAATCTTGTTATTGTTATTCCTTGTGAATGGACGGTCATATAAACATGGTGTTTTCTCTAAGGGTTCTCATGTCAAACTGGTCCTGAATAAAAATGGCACTGATCTAATAGCAAATATGAACACCATAACAACCATCTTGAAAATGTTATTTCTATTCCACCAAAAAAAAAAATGTGGGTCCCTGTGTGGCCAAGTGGACAAAAGCACTCATCGTTACAGATCACTGCCATCTCACCCCTGTCTGTGTGGGTTTGAGTCTCAGCCTCGGCTAACATGGGTATGTGAGAAAGCTTGCCAGTAGCTTCTCGTGGGTTGGTGGTTTTTTTCCAGAGTTTTCCTGGGTTCTTCCTCCACCATTTATTCTGGCCACCATGTATAGCCTATCTTGTGCTCAATAATGGCATCAAACCCTGTAACAACAACAATAACCAGAACCAAAATTATTATTGTCATGGGTTTTTCACAAGAAGACTTTCTTATGATGACTAGTTGGTACTAAATGAAAAGGTTGCTTGCACATCCACCACAGTGGCCATCTATAGACTCTTGCTATCACTGCTCTCTAATGAAGTGTCATAACAGCCTGTGGTATTCACTAAAGGACTTGTGATGTCTAGTTGGTTGTAAATGAAAACTGGTAGTCTGGCTATACAAATGTCTATCTGGACAATCTTATCATAGCTTTTTCTCCTGAATAGCTGGTCATATCTGTATTGTGCTTTTATCAGAAGACTTGTAATTAGTAGTAAAACTGAAGAAATGTGAATTCAGTAATAATGGGATACCAATTTTGATGGATTTGCTAAAAAAAAGTACAAATTAATGTTTTGTATTTAACATAAAGAATCCCAGCCCCCTTTGATCAATTTATTTACCCTACAAAAATGCCCATTTACTCTAAACCATGAAAATTGATGCTTACAAAAAGGAATCCATACTAATATTTTCCCCCACTCCTAACTTTATTCAGAGCAGACCTTGATATGCTGTACCATAAAATGTTGGCAATTCAAGGTCTACATTATTTCTTTGAAATCATTGGTAGAACAGCCATGAAGATCCAGATGGGCTGGTACATTATACAGTGGTACAGCTTCATCTAAATAGAACCAGATGGGCTGGCACATTATACAGTGGTACAGCTTCATCTAAATAGAACCAGATGGGCTGGCACATTATACAGTGGAACATCTCCATGTTCCTTGATGAAAGAAATGAAGTTAGAGTGGCATTAATTCTGCCAGAATTATTATTTCAAACATTATTAATTTTTCAGAAATATATTTTTGCAGTGCTCAGAGTTGAAAATTATATCCATAAGTGCAGTGATTACCTCATAAACGAAATTCTTGGAAAATTAGGATATAAAATCCAGTTTTTTAGTTAAAATTATTCTAGTGCAGTGTATGAACTCCAACGTGATATCTAGATCATGTGATTTTACAAATGATCTGTTAGCAAGTGGCATGGTAACTGGTGTGATTGTGATTTATATTTTTAAGGTAGCTATAACAATTTTTCAGTTATATCACTTCGATGTCTGCAGTGTGACAGTTTATAGTAATTTCTAGCACTAGAGCATCATGCCGCAGACATGTAACATTATGTCCCACCCAGTCACATTATCCTGACACCAGGCCAACCAGTCCTAACACTAACTTCTTATTGCTGAGTGCCAAGCGAGGCAGCTGTTAGTACCATTTTTAAAGTCTTTGGTATGACTCTGCTGAGGTTTGAACCCACAACCTCCTGCATCCGAGGCGGACGCTCTAACCACTAGGCCTTCGAAGCAGTCTTCAGGGTGACTGTGGCAATAAACAACTAGGTAAAATAAAATGGTAGACAGCACCTGCTTCACAGGTAAAAATGCAAGACTAATGAATGATATAATTTAATTGCATATAAAGCTAGATACTCTGCTGATGGTGGAAATCATCTCCATCATCTAGATTTTAATAAGTCATTGCTGTTTAGCCTAAGAGAGGTAACTGCTACAATTAGCAAGTTGTTAACAATTGATTACTTAGCCAATAATGGCAGCTGAGTTATTCTCAGATCACACTAACAAAGAAATTCTGGCCATAGTTAGTAATCAATTCATTTCATGTTAATTTACAAGGATGTAAGGAATATATTGACCGCCTTAATCCATTGGAAATGTATAGAATGTAATAGCCATCTTGATTTACTGCGGTGTTCAGAGTTTAATTACCATCTTGATTTACTGTGGTGTACAAATGTAATCATTTTGATTTAGCAGGGTGTACAAAATATAAAAACCATATCGATTTACTGGGTTGTACAGAATGTAGTGACCATCTGGATTTACCAAGGTGTACAGAATGTAATAATCCTCATTTACCAGGGTATACAGAATGTAATTATCTACATTTACCACAATGTACAGAATGTAATGACCATCTTCATTTCTTGGGGTGTACAGAATTTAATATACATTGATTGACAGGGGTGTATAGAATGTAATAACCATCCTGATTAACTGTTTTACAGAGTATCATAACCATCTTGATTTACTGGGATGTACAGAATAGAATGTAATGATGTCATGATTTACTGTGGTGTATAGAATATGATGTCATGATTTACTGGGGTGTATAGAATGTAATGATGTCATGATTTACTGGGGTGTATAGAATGTAATGATGTCTTGATTTACTGGGGTGTATTGAATGTAATGTCTTGATTTACTGGGGTGTATTGAATGTAATGTCTTGATTTACTGGGGTGTATAGAATGTAATGTCATGATTTACTGTGGTGTATAGAATGTAATGATGTCTTGATTTACTGGGGTGTATAGAATGTAATGATGTCTTGATTTACTGGGGTGTATAGAATGTAATGATGTCTTGATTTACTGGGGTGAATGTAATGATGTCTTGATTTACTGGGGTGTATAGAATGTAATGATGTCTTGATTTACTGGGGTGTATAGAATGTAATGATGTCTTTATTTACTGGGGTGTATTGAATGTAATGTCTTGATTTACTGGGGTGTATAGAATGTAATGATGTCTTGATTTACTGGGGTGTATAGAATGTAATGATGTCTTTATTTACTGGGGTGTATTGAATGTAATGTCTTGATTTACTGGGGTGTATAGAATGTAATGATGTCTTGATTTACTGGGGTGTATAGAATGTAATGATGTCTTGATTTACTGGGGTGTATAGAATGTAATGATGTCTTGATTTACTGGGGTGTATAGAATGTAATGATGTCTTTATTTACTGGGGTGTATTGAATGTAATGTCTTGATTTACTGGGGTGTATAGAATGTAATGATGTCTTGATTTACTGGGGTGTATAGAATGTAATGATGTCATGATTTACTGGGGTGTATAGAATGTAATGATATCATGATTTACTGGGGTGTATTGAATGTAATGATGTCTTGATTTACTGGGGTGAATGTAATGTCTTGATTTACTGGGGTGTATTAAATGTAATGATATCATGATTTACTGGGGTGTATAGAATGTAATGAGACAATAAATAATTACAGTATGTATTTAGTTCAAAATAGTTAACAACATTATGTACTTCCTGGTAAACTGCCACATAACTAGTATTACATAGAAAAGTTTGAGGAAAAGTATCTTATCACCCTGAAAAAATAGCTTAAGAATACAACTTAACTGCATACAAATCAATAAACCATTTTACAAATCACAAAATACCAGGGGCTCCGAGTGGCCGATAGGTCTTAAGCGCTGTCCGTTACGGATCACTGCCATCTCACCTCTGTCTAGGATAGAATGTGGATATGTGGATATGTGAGAAAGCTTGTCAGTAACTTCTCGTGGGTCGATGGTTCTTTCTGGTGATTTCCCGGTTTCTTCCTCCACCATTAATACTGGCCGCCATGAATAGCCTATCATGTGCTGAAAAATGGCGTTAAGCCCAACAACAACAACAACAAAATACCAAAGTTTATATGTTGTGGAAATCTAAGACTTATAAGCATCATATTGTATTAATATTATATGATCACCAATTAAAAGGTATAAACTATGAATCAACTTGTTAATTTGCAGGTATGTAGGTAAGGGTATATAGCAATTCTCATGTACATCAATCCAACGTATTCTTCATAGTACACCTTGACCCACAGTTAATAGTTCTAGTAATAATAAATCAGAAGAGATTATTGGATGATCTATTTCTGTCATCTGTCCATCCACTAGCACAAATTTGACTCCCTCTAAACTATGTGTACTTGAAAGATTGCCTTCAAACTCACACATATTCATCCCATGGTCTAGTTGGTCATCTTGAAAATCTTGTTATAGCTATTCCTCCTAAATGGATGGTCACATCAACATGGGGTTTTCACTAAAAGATGTTTAAATGGATGGTCACATCAACATGGGGTTTTCACTAAAAGATGTCCTAAATTAAAATTTAGCCGATCTTTCATAAAGAATGGCTTCCACAGTGGAAACCTGATTACCATTGGTCTGCCTAAATGGATGGTCATATCAACATGTGCTTTTCACTAAAAGACTTCTTATAATGTCTAGTCCTAAATGAAAATGGTGCCAGTCTGACTTCCAATGTGGCCACCTTTGCAGCCATGTTGAAAATCTTGTTATCACTACTCCTGAATGGTTATATCAAAATGAGGTTTTCACTAAAAGACTTCAAGTGGTGTCTAGCTGGTTCTGAAAAAATATGGTGCTGATCTGAGACCTTTATGATACAAAGCTGACATTCCAATTTTGATCAAAATTGGATCAGAATCTTGGCTTCCTAAGTAATAAGCTCAACATATCAAGATAAATCACGTAATTTATTTGCATAGATCCCACTCATAGTTGAAATTTTTCTTCTGACACAAAGATATATTCCAAATCTTGTCACCTTTGGATTTCAAATATGGCTTCCAGACTGGTAAGAAGCTCAGCTAATTAGATGTAAGATCACTTTGTAATATTTATGCATATTGATAATTATGGGTCTGATACGAAGTCCTGATGATATAGACATATACTTCAAGTTTGATCAAAGTCAGATAGATCAGATATACAGCCTCCATGTGGTAACAAGTTCAGTCAGATGCAGTAGTCCCTCTCTTGAATGACCACCCACCCACACACAGCAGCTACCCTCTCCACTAACATGGCCAGTGGCCAGCATATTAGTACAAAAATGTAAAATGTTCCACTCAAATACAACCAATAAATTTATATCATGATGCAGGGTAAGTAATCAATCTCTTCTGTGGATACATATCTCCCAATAACAAGTGCCTGTTACTTAAAGTGTTGACTAAAGTACATGTAACACTAAGATTAATATTATATCATTATCTATAAAAGTTGACATTTACTGGAAATGGGCTCAATTAAGTTATGATAAGAGTTTTGGGCTTCACAAATCTGTCAAGTTCTTCTCTTTGATGATTGCTACTGGATGTAAATGTTAAGATTATAGGCTAAAAATAAATTTTGTGCATTAACACACAAACAGAAATTAACCTGGAACAGAACAGGGCACCAGACAAAAACTTAAAAATCACACAACACATTCCTTTACGAAAAAGGCATTTTTTCCAAACTATACAAGTTTCATTTGCACATACAGTTAGCAACATTCAAATAAATCTTTTACCAAACAATAACATGCCATCACATAAACAGAGGCATATTACTTAAGAAGTCGGTGGGGTGCTGAGAGGGGTGACTTGCCAAATAATTTTATGTAGAAAATACTTGAATAAAACAATTTTATGTTGAGAAAACTCAATACTGTAACCAAGATTATTCAGTAGCAATGAGAAAATGGAGCAATTTGAATGAGAATTATATATGTACCAAGATTTAAACGACATTTTTAAATGGTTTTGCAATGTGCATGACAACATAGCCCACTTGCATACGATGCTTGCATCAAGAAAAAGAACTATTAATATATATTTAGTTGAAATAAATCCATGATTATGACAAGAAGAACCTTTTAATAATTGTTACTTTTAATCGAAGATATTAAATACTTTGAAGTATGTAGCTTTCTTACTACATACATTATATATATACTCAAAATTTAGTCCTCCTATGGTAAGGCGACCTGTCTTAAAAGGCCACTTTCCCAGTGCAGAAGGGCTGGCCATATAAGAGACGGACCACTGTTATATTTATGTGTGTGTGTTTTTGTATGTGTGTAAATGCAAACAACACTGCAGAATGTGCCAGCATATCTGGGGATTAGTTGTAACAAGCTACACAGTTGTCAGTACACTACAGATATAAAAGATATAAAAAATGAAACGGATGCCTCGGACACTTGGCTCTCAGCATGAAGGGGTTAAAAAGGACTTGTCAGGGTAATGTGATTGGGTTGGACATGATGCAATATGTCTGTGGCATGATACCCCAGTGCTAGACATTACTATAAACTAACATCTGCAGACATCATAGCAATAAGACATCTGTTATAGCTGTGTTAAAAAATCCTATAAAAAAAACACATCACTTTGTTTTCATTACTGCACAAACTGGGACAAAAGTAGAAGAAAAATATCAACATGCCAACACAGCAATGGATGCAACATTTGCTAAGTACAAGTGCTATATGTCATTTTAACAACAAAATGTTATTCCATTTTATTATTGTGGGAAAATTAAAACTAATGATTTAAAGAAAAATAAATTTTATTCAGTTTTAACATTTTGTATTTCCTCAGTAAATTCAAAAACATTTCATGAATAAAGCCCGATTTGAAACAATTCAAAAAGGTTTCATAGCAATTCCTTAAATTCACTGATTTTTCAA